TTTACATGGTGTACCATTTTTGCATTTTACAGATCTGTTGGAGAACGATTTGATATGAATAAAAGTTCATTAAGTGTCAGTTTTATGAGAGTTGTAGAAGCGTTGAATCAAATTGCTGATAATGTGATTAAATGGCCTCGAAATGAGAAAACAATTCATGTAAAACAAATTTTTCAACAAATCGCTGGAATACCCAATACTTGGAGCAATAGATGGAACATTCAGATAAAAGCTCCAAAAGTTTGTGAATATATTTTGAACCATATTCTAAATTTTCTTTTATCGATAAAAGCGCTTTTAAGTATTATAGTTTACATTACATGTGCTTAAAAGTGCTCTTATTGATAAAAAAGGATTCAAAATATAGACCTTTATGAATTTAATTTAATTTATGATTTTTTATCGTAACTTACGTTATGTTTTCAGAATGATGCTCAGTATTACATAAATAGAAAAAGTCATTTTACTATAACTTTACAAGGAGTATGTGATGCAGAATTGCGTTTCACAGATTGTTTCACAAGCTATGCTTCTTCAGTAAATGACATACGGATTTTTAGAAACTCTGATTTATGGAGAGAAGTCCAAAATAATTACCATCACTTTTTTCTATTAAAAGAGTTTATAATTGGAGATAAAGCGTATCCTGTACTTAAATGGTGTATTCCTCCATATCGTAACTTCGGAAATTTAACAGGAGTAAATTGTGACGATACGCCCCCGCCTCGTCACTACGTGGGGCCGACCAGCCACCCCTGACGCTCAACGCCACAATTCCGACTAGGGCCATAGCACAAGCATGGCGTAATGCTTACGACTAGACATAAGTCGTAGACGTATGCAACGCACAAAGTTTGACGTATGGCGTAGCAGTAGAATTAATGCGACGCTACGCGAATCGGCTTACACAGCGGTTATAGCGAGAAGAAAATAATTTAATTATTTCAAACAACTGAAGAATAATCCAGTTTAATTGCCGTGAAAGTAAATAAGATTTTGATAAAATCTGTCGTATTGATCCATTTATGTGTTTGTAGTTTTGGCTAAATAAGTAATGATAACCTTTTTTTATGTTAGGTTAACTACAATATTTCTTTATTCTCATTTGTATAAGATTACTTAAAGAATCTTTTGTCTGCTTAATTTCAATATTAATTTAAATTAATTATAATGTTGTTTTTTAGACTGCTGTTGAAAATTCATATAAAATGTCAGATCATCAGAATTATTGCGGTACGAGTGATACTGATATTTCACAAAATATCGAATTAAGTTTTTCCAATGAATCAGAAAATCTGATTTTTAACAAAAAAAGTGGCGATACATTTTTTTTTTAATATAGCACACTACATAACAAAAAGTAAGTAATATTTGATTATTTATAAATAA